CCCACCTGATATGTGTGTGCTAAGTGAGTTTTCGTGTCCTCCAGGCCTACCTCCTATGTGCTAGCAGGTATGTGTGGTCCTCCTCACCACCCTCGTAGTGTCGATGTGGTTGTTGTCTCCGTTCCGGTGACCTCCTCCCGGGTATCTTGTCCCACCATCATGTTTTTTTCGGTGCAGGGCTCCCTCCCTCCTCGGGGGTGGGTAACGTAACGTACTCATGGTATCGCTGTTTGGCGATACCATGTGGGTGTCCTCTGGGACCCGACCCACCGCCTTCTCCCCTAGTGGTCATCTCAGGCTGGGCGGGTTCTGGCAGCGAGCCCAGCAAGGGCGGCGGGCCCCCCCTTGGTTTCTGGTGGAGGGGGCGTGTAACTCCCTGAGAGTGTTGTTTCGTAATGTAGGGATATTGGGGTAGCCTGTGTGTGATGAAGGCTTCCCTTGGGCGTGAGGGGCGGCTTGTTCGGGTTCCGTCTCTCTCGCCTCCCCTTGTCTCATGAGTGTGGTAGTGATTGACAAGAGCCCAAGTGTAAGTGCGGATAGGGGTGCGTTCCTCGGCCTCCGCCACCCACTCCCCAGTAGGCCTCAGGCCCTCAGCCCCGGTATAGGCATTAGGTGGGGGTCTCCCCCGCGTGTGTGTGGGGATAAAGGTGATTGGTGTACTTGCCATTAGGTAGGGCCTTTTGGTTCCGCTGGTGTCTGTGCGGGTCTCAATGTCCCAAGTCTCTTAGAGTCTCTTTGTTGGGAGGGTCTTTAATGCTGATTGTCTCTGGGGGGTCCTCTAGGGTGTCAGTTTCCAGGCAGTTCCGCTCTAAGTTCGTCACAGGGATGCACCCAATGGCCTGATGGCTTGCAGTCGGGTTCTCCTGTTCCGTGGGTGCAAGAGAGTCTGTTGGTTCGTCACTGGGGAGAAGGTGTAGAATGCCATCGGGTCGGCCAGGCCATTTGTATCAGTGGGAGTTGTAGTTTTCTTAAGAGATCTTACATGTCCCCTTCGCTTTTTACTGTGAATGGGTCATTGGTGGTGGTGGCCTGTAGTCCAGTGGGGAAGTTCCAGCGATATCGGACTTTATTAGCTTGTAGTGCCCGTGTGGGAGGGCGCATAGCTCTCCGGTACGCCATCGTTGCCGGTGATAGGTCTGGGTACAATTGTAATTCCACTCCATTAATGAGGACTTGCTTAGTGTCTCTTGCTTTATGCAGGATATCCTCTTTTGTTTGGAAGTGGGCTAGGCAGCAGATGATGTCTCTTGTGGAGGCGCCTAGTGGGCCTCCTGGCCTGAGGCCCCTGCGTGCCCTGATGAATTCTATAGGTGTAGTCGTTGGTCGGCCTAGGAGGTTATTGAATAATTCTGTAAGGGTGTCCTGTAGCGGGTGGCCTGGTCAAGTTCCGTCGGCATACATCTGATCCTGATGTTTTGCCGCCTCTCGCGGTTGTCTAGGCCCTCTATGTGCAGTGCCATCTGGCGGAGTTGGGCCGCGTGTTGTTGTAGCGTGCCCGTGTTTGCAGTCTGCGCCGACGCCATGTGGTTGCAGTTCGCTTCCAGTTGGGCCACTTTTTGCTGGATGCCCTGTATATCTTCCCTGAGGGCGTGCAGTTCCCTGCAATTTGTGGAGTGCGACATTCGCCTTTTTCAAGTCCGCTTTGGTCGGAAGGTTGCGTATCAGCTCCACCCAGTCCGGTTGTAGTAGCTGGGGAGCCGAGGTATGTGAGGCCGTTCTGGATAAGTTTCCTTCCGGTGAGGGAGGGCGGGACAGGCCCGAGGCCTCTGAGTCATTTGAGGCCTGGGAGGTCTGCTCGGCCTGCGTCCCCCTGATGCTGGAGGGCTGGTTTGCTTGCGATGACCTGTGAGTCTTGCCCATGTTGGCGGTCTAATGTGCTGGTTTGGTGAGGATTAGTGCTGAGCCTGCGGGGAGCTCTCAGTTTACACGCCATCTTCCTCGGTGTCCAAGCCACGCCCCCATGGATTCAACCTTTCTAATGCCAAAGCATTGAATTGTTGAATCAAGGCGATTCCCTTGCCTGCGCTGTGTCCCTCCAATGCTTCTCAATGTGAAGAATCTGATTGGTCAGATTGATGACTTTTGCGTAGAAGAATGAGTTAGTATTCCTTTAATATTAATACATAGTTTCTATAATTCTTTCTACATTTAAAAGAGGGAGTCTATACAGCTACGTGATTGGTGCTTGCTGCAATAAACAGTAGCTTTTCTAACTAATCAGTTAAACAGAGTTTGAAGGTTAGTTTTATTTTATTTGTTTATTTTTGTATGAAATGTTAAAGGAACACTATAGGGTCAGGATCACAAACATGTATTCCTGACCCTATAGTGTTTAACCCACCATTTAGGTAGCTTGCTTCCCCCCGGTTCCCCCTCCCTCCCATTTAGCCCCCTTAAAAGTTAATAAAACTCACCTTTTTTCCGGTGCGGGTCCTGCCCCCTTTTGAGACATCATGAAAATTGCATTGTTTTTTTTTTTGCCAATCCAATGCTTCCCCAGGGGAAAGCTGAACGTCGATTTTTTTTGCCAATCCAATGCTTTCCACAGGGAAAGCAGCACTGAGCCAGGAAGCACCTCCACTGGCCATCTGAGGAGTGGCTATTGGAGGTGTCCATAGGGGCAATGTAAACACTGCCTTTTCTCTGCATATAATGATTATACTCACCAGAACAACTACATTACATGCTTGGAGGAAAGACGAAACAGGGGGGATATGATAGAAACATTTAAATACATAAAGGGAATCAACACAGTAAAGGATGAGACTATATTTAAAAGAAGAAAAACTACCACAACAAGAGGACATAGTCTTAAATTAGAGGGACAAAGGTTTAAAAATAATATCAGGAAGTATTACTTTACTGAGAGGGTAGTGGATGCATGGAATAGCCTTCCAGCTGAAGTGGTAGAGGTTAACACAGTAAAGGAGTTTAAGCATGCGTGGGATAGGCATAAGGCTATCCTAACTATAAGATAAGGCCAGGGACTAATGAAAGTATTTAGAAAACTGGGCAGACTAGATGGGCCAAATGGTTCTTATCTGCCGTCACATTCTATGTTTCTATGTTTCTATTAAGCTGTAGTTGTTCTGGTGACTATAGTGTCCCTTTAATAAGCTCTGTGTCCTATGTGCTGGATGTAAAGCAAATAATCCACCTAGTATTTATATTTCTAATAGATACATCACATATATTAACAACACTTTCTAGGTATGTTTTTATATTGTTCTGTATTGTTTATCTACATATTACTGTAGTTAGCATTGTCACTTACGTGTAAAAACAGAGCAGGACCAAACTCATATTAACTATGACTCAGAAAGATTGTCTACTAACCATAATCAAAGCAAAACTCTAAAATGATCTTTAACCCTCTAATTTGACAGTATAATCTCAATCCCTATTTATCAAACAGGTATTTACAGAGATACCAGGTCATGTGTGACTATGACTCAGTGCTGACTATGATCCAGTGCTTTTGGTGTGACAAATCTCTCAAGAGTCTAACAATCCCCAGGGCTGAATATGAATATCTACATCTGCAATTAACGTAACAAGGAAGTAACAGCAAAACCTAGCATTTAAAAGCATATATATTTATATTATAAAATGTGTTGTGTGATCAAGGCAGGGCTCTATATTAGTTCTAACACATGTCTGTATCGTTTCTGGGAAGTATTCAAGATATTTGCCCTCTTCAATGGCCTTTTATAGTTTTGCAAGCAGCATCTATAAGATGAATACTGCTGAGTAAGTAAATGTCTCTAATCCCTTCAGAAGGGTAGATGTAACAAACTTATGAAAGTAGAAACTCTCACACGGTTATTTAATAAGTTCTCAAAGTCAGCTGTGTTTTGTGGTTGGCTATCTTGGCCTCAATGTTAAAATTCACTTTGAATTAACAAATTTTTGACTATTCACACTTTAGTCAATATACCTCGTTCTCAGTCTGACATGGTTACAGACTAAAGTGGAAATTGTCAAAAATTAAAAGTGGATTTCAAATTCAAGGCCAAGGCAGCAAAACTGGAAAAATCCAAGTCAGCTATTATGGCCTTAAATTTAAATGTCACTTTGAATTCACTTTGAACTCCCGACAATTCTAACTTTAGTAAATAGCCCTTTAAGTCTCAGCATTTCTGCCCTGGTCTCAGGGTAAATGTAAACATTCTGTGTGTAACACCTATATAGATTGCTCAATGAAATAAAGCCAAGAACTGGGTGTATAAAAGTATTTTTTTAGAAATGTATCTACCTGAATGCATACATTGGATCACTCCATAAATAAATCTGAATAGTGCAGTAGTTATATTCCTATTGAATATGTTTATTCAGACAGAATTAGGCCCACCCAAAGGTATTTTTTTCCCAAGCATGTAAAAAGCATAGAAGCGGTTTTTCAGCACACAGATAATTGCAATTTAAAATACATCAATTTTTAAAAAAAATTCAAAAAGTTTGGGAACAATGGGAAAACAGTTCTCTTGGAGATTAGTGATGGCAGGTGAGGGGGGCTGTACCACCAGGTCCTCATACAAACACGAAGGTGACTCCGGTGTCCGACGACAACCACTTCCTTTTTTGTCCTGTCTCCCCCCTCATCACCCCCATCTGTAGCTCACATGTGATGATAGACCTTGAGCCCCGTAACCCCCTCTGCCCCCCCTTAATACTTTATTTCTATTCTCTCTTCGTCTCTCATTCTTCCCTATTCCTTAGGGACAATTATCACCATAAAAACCATGACTGCTAACTTCATGTGTAATGGTTGTAGAGATACTCAATGTTTTTCTACTTGGTCAAATGACTTACATAAGAAACACAGATACAATGTTGAATGTAAGGTGCTGTACCATTACTGCCATTGTTTATCACATGTCATGCAAAAATTAAGAATTTTTAAAATATATATTATTATTTTTTTTTTAAAGAAAAAAAAGGCCACTGATTGCCTTACTCTCTTTTCAAAGCCGAAGATTCAAAAGGTTGGATTAATGATTAGTTATTTTACTTTTTAAGGGGAGAAAAGGGGGCTGGGGACCTAAAATGGATTTTTACACCTATAGTGTCACGGATATATGTTTGTATTTCTGACACTCTAAATTTCATAGCAATTAAATCTGTGCCAGAGACTATGTGACTCATTTAAGTGTGTCATTCAATCTGGCCCAGTTAGTTTTATATGTAGATCTTTAGGAATTTGATGGCTGATTATGTTAAATTACAAGCAAATCACTGTAACTGGGCATTAAAGTGTTAATATTTTGAAAAGGTCTCTGGGTCAACTGGTTAAGAAAGGTCCCTGGTATGTCTGTGACACGTCAGCTGTTGTTTCCTCAACAACTGTGATCCTGCCTTGTCTGCAACTTGAACGGATTTGGATTCAAAAATCTGGTGTACAAAATGCCACAAACCCTAGTTCAAAACCACTGTCTGTGACCTCTAGAACATTAAAATAAGCTATTATTATCCAAGTCTGTCCCTAGGGTGTTATTCACTATGAGAACAAGATGTCAAAGAAGAGTAGACTCAATGTTTTAATTTGTCAAAATATATGAGTGTCAAGAATTATCCAGCTGAACACTCTGTCAGTTGTTTTATGCAATTTGTTTACAACTCAGTTACCAATTATTTATACCACATTATTTAGTGAATTAACCCCTTTTACAAAGGCAAAATATATAAAATAGAGGACTTTATTATCTAAATTACTATTATTATTATTATTATTATTACTTATGCACTAAGACTGGAATATAGTGAACTAAATGCCATACTGCAAAATCTAGACACACACTAGTTTATTGAAGTGATTCTCCAACTCAGATATAGACACACTATGGCTGTTTTAAGCTGCATTTTACAGTTAGAAACATAGAATGTGACGGCGGATAAGAACCATTCGGACCATCTAGTCTGCCCAATATTTTGAAATCCTTTTAATTAGTCCCTGGCCTTATCTTATAGCTAGGATAGACTTATGCCTGTCCCACGCATGCTTAAACTCCCTCACTGTGTTAACCTCTACCACTTCAGCTGGAAAGCTTTTCCATGCATCCACTACCCTCTCAGCAGAGGCGGCTCTAGACTTTATGAGGCCTTAGGCGAAAATCAAACATGAGGCCCCACTAACAAAAAAGTGTCACATTGATGTATGTGTATGTGCCTGAGAGTGTGTCTGACAGAGAGTATCCTTGTGTGTAAATGTATGTCTCTGAGCATGTTTGCGTTTTTGTCTAAGACCCTCAGAAGGGGGGTGATGTGAGAAGGAGGGAGGGTGATGTGAGAAGGAGGGGGGTGATGTGAGAAGGAGGGGGCGTGATGGTGAGAAGGAGGGGGCGGATGGTGGTGAGAAGGAGGTTGGGGTCTTGGTGAGAAGGAGGGAGGTTGATGGTGAGGGAGGGGTTGATGGTGAGGGGGTGATGGTGAGGGAGGGGGGTTGATGTGATGGCAGGAGGGGTTGATGGTGAGGGGGATGATGCTGAGGGTGGTGGGGAGAGTGGTGATGCTAAGGGTGGGGAGGGTGGTGATGCTGAGGGTGGGGAGAGGATGATGCTGAGGGTGGTGGAGGGGGTGATGCTGAGGGTAGTGGAGGGGTGATGCTGAGGGTGGTGGAGGGGGTGATGGCGGATGCTGAGTGTGTGGTGAGGGGGTGATGCTGAGGGTGGTGGGGAGGGTGATGCTGGTGGTGGGGTGAAGCGGGCGTGGTGAGGCTGAGGGTGGTGGGGGTGGTGAGGCTGAGGGTGGGGGGCTGAAGGGGGTAGTGAGGCTGAGGGTGGTGAGGAGGCTGGAGGGTAAAGGGGGGTAGTGAGGCTGAGGGTGATGGGGGTGGTGAGGCTGAGGGTGGTGAGGCTGAAGGGGGTAGTGAGGCTGAGAGTGGTGGGGGTGATGAGGCTGAGGGTGAAGGGGGGTGGTGAGGCTGAGGGTGGTAGGGGTGGTGAGGCTGAGGGGGGTAGTGAGGCTGAGGGTGGTGGGGGTGGTGAGGCTAAGGGTGAAAAGGGGGGGTGAGAGAGCTTACCTTTTCTTCCCTGGTGGTCCGGTGGCCATTGCTTCTGGTCTGCAGCTCCGCAGAACTGCAGACCATGTAATCTCGCGAGATGTTAGAGCGTTGTCGTCGTAACCCGTGGCAACGCTCTGATTGGCCAATTCTCACGAGACACATGGTCTGCAGCTCTGCACACTGCGGAGCTGCAGACCTGTGTCTGCGATGGTGGCCGGGCAGCCTCGCACCCGGCGGCATACCGGGCAAGCCGCCGGGCCCCCTCCTGGTGTCAGGTCCTCGGTCACTGACCGAGGGCCTGACATAGACTGCCCACAGGTGGTTTAGGCGGCCGCGAGGCCACAGCCAGCGCAAGGCCTTAGGTGGCTGCCTAAACCGGCAAATTAGAGAGCCGCCTCTGCCTCTCAGTAAAGTAATACTTCCTGATATTATTTTTAAACCTTTGCCCCTCTAATTTAAGACTATGTCCTCTTGTTGTGGTAGTTTTTCTTCTTTAAAATATAGTCTCCTCCTTTACTGTGTTGATTCCCTTTATGTAGGTGGGGTTGAACAAACTCACCAGAGATACTGATGTAACCCAAGCAGCATCATTTAAGGGCAGTGGTTCCTGATGTCATCTTCCGGAAGCTAAAGAAGGACAAAAAAAATGACGAGACAGGTAATTCAAATCTAGGGAGTCTTCAGGGAACCCCAACAATTATTTCCTAATTTTGTTCCTATGGGCATACAGATAGAAATCTTGCCTTATTGCCTCATAGGGCCAATGGTAACATAACAAGTTTAAGTATCATACAATTCAAAAATATCATTTAGTATCATCAAGTATTTCAGTGATTGATACCCATTTTATAACTTTCAGAAAGTAAAATGATCAGAAAAGAATTTTGAAATATAAGAACATTTCTGTGTGGTCTGACCTTAATATTGATATTTTCCACATTTGATTCCAAGAAATAAAACATTTAGATAAGAAAAGTGTGTCTGATCTGTTTTTTGATGCATTCTGGCAGTTGTTTGGCAGGTATTATTATTTGTGCATTAGTGGCCCAATATACCTGCTCTACTTGTTGACCTGGAGTTCATTATTGAAGGTCACCAACTGATAATTGTCAGCTACACCCTACCCTTCCCATCCTTGATGCTCAGGAGTCACAATCTTCTTTATGGCCCACTATATAGCTGTTTCCTTATAGACTGTCATTAGTTAATTAGTAACACACAAGCTAAAGATGAAAGAGTTCTATTTACAGGAGACATAACATGATGCAGGAAATTAATTGAAATGTTTTCCTTTTTATTTTTCTTTAGAACAAACTCAGAAAGATAAGCATTAAGATACAAATGGAAGAATGGAAATGCCAATGAGTTTTTTGATGGGAGTTCAATATTTGCCTCCTCTTTGGCTGTGGACTGTTATTTTGAAGGATGTTTAAAGATTGTTGTAAAATGATTGTATCCTCCATCTAATCAATGCAGTGCATGGCTGGCTCATTATGTCATCATTCAGTGATTCCCACAGAAAGGAATTCTCACATTGTTAGGTCTATAGTTAAACCCAATACTGACCATTGTGGGGGCATTTAAAGGTAAACTTATATATAATGCCAGGTGTTCTTGGGTGCTACCCAATGATAATCTGTCAAATCATTTATGAATGGTTTGACACTTACCTTGCTCTATTGAACACTCACTGTTCTTTCAGTCTGAGACTGTCTGATAAATCAGAAGTCCATACTTTTACATTACCATACCAAATCATGCCAGGTTTAAACAGTATTCATTGGAAAGTTGAATGTCTCCCAATAGTCCAGAATTTGGTGCGGCAATACAGATTTTTGGGTCCTTTCCCCCTGTCCCGTCTAAGACCCTTGGTGCCCACTTTTGGGGATACCACAGAACTTTTCCACACATTCATAGCAGAAGCGCATCATAAGACGTGCTTGATCTTTGTACAGGGCACTAGGACCCAGCAAGAAGCACTGAAACAATGCTCCCTACAGGTCCAGCCGTCAGTGGGCAATCTGGTGTCTATTCACACCTGGCTGACCTGCCAGTAATGTGGGCAGACACGCCACCTTTCTGGAAGAGCAACACTCTAAGAAATAGTGAGTGGAAACCAGGAGCTGACTCGTGATAATGGCTTGATAATAAAATGTAAAAAATTCAAAACGCCACCTTTCTGGACAGATCTCCCCCTTCCTGGGTAGGTCCACCTCCTTTTTGGGCAGCCTTTGACACGATTGCATCACTGGCCTGCCTCATTTACCTCCTCCCACCAGCATTCTGGGACTGCCTGTGTAGGTGAGTTTTAGATGATGGTTCACAACAAATGAATACGGTTTAATAATAGTATGATGGTATGATAATGTAGAAGAAGGAACATCTGCTTTATTTGGCCAACTCAGAGTGAAGGACTGCCAAAGTCCAAAATAGCAAGGTAAGTGTCAAATCATTCATAAATAGTTTTATAAATTACCGGAGGATGGCACCCAGTGACCCAGGTATTCCTGTGACCATAACAAACATAGCACATTGTAGTGGTTATGGTGCCTAAAGAGTCCCTTTAAGTGTCCTCTATGTGCATGTGTCTAACAAAGTGGTAAGTGAGAATAGGTGGGTGAATCATTTTTAAACAATCATTTCTATTTATTGAAGGATATACAGCAAGGTAAAGCTAAAGTCTTCAGATTGCATATGTTTGCATGAGCTACAATAACAGGTCACCTGAGTAGATGTAAATGTTTCCTTATTATAGAGGACAACATCGGCATGCTGTATCACAAGATTAAACTGTGTCTTGCACACAGTGCTATACAAAGTCTCAAGTGACACTGTGGTCACTTTGGACAAATGATAACGAACTAAAAGTAGTTGGGCTGTATGAACAAATAGTGCTAAAATAGTCTGCAAGAGTTTGGAATTGCTCAGTACATGCACTCAAATATATTAGAAAAAATATATACAATGTAGTGCTCTTTGTAATTCAGAGTATAAAAAGTGTTCCATACTTGCAACTTCTATGAACATCATGCCACCACAAGTTAAAAATAACCACAAAACCAGCGTCTTGGTAAATCACACAGGTAAGGACACTGTACCCAGTGGTGTATTTAGGATTTGTGCTGCCCTAAGCAGGACGGTGCTCGGGCACCCCCCCCCTAATTTAAATTTTCCCCACCCCTTCCTGTCAAGGCCGCACTTTGACTGACAGACACTCACTCACTGACAGACGCCCACTCTCACTGATAAATGCATACACTCACTGACAGACACACACTCTCATATACACACTGACAAACAATAACATACACACACTCACTGATTTGACACACTGATAGACAGACATACACTATTACTTGGACACACACCCAGCCTCCCTACTTTTGGGATAGCTGGGTGGATTTTTCACCTGGGGTCCAGTGGGACTGCTGGGCAGGGAGGCGGCCAGGCGTGCAGGCGGGCGGTTGTTTCCTGGGTGGGCGGGCAGCCACGCTAAGCTGTCAGCGAGGGAGCACTTTCCCCTGAGCTCTCTGCTCAGCTCCCTCACGCGATAAAACAAGGCAAACAGGGTATTTGCCTGGGCATTTGGGGGCAGCCTTTTTTGCCACCCCCTGGAAATTGCCGCCCAAGTTTGTTTGCCTCGCGGTAGATACATCCCTGACTGTACCAGGCAATGAAGGATGCCAGATGCCTCTCCTATATTAAAAGGCTGTGCATTTTGCCCATTTATTGAACCTATTTGAGACTAGGAAGATATGTGAAAATCATCCCACCCTTTTATTATAATAATATATTTTTTTTAAATTCAAATATGTCTAATGATGCTAATCCTCTACCCACTAATACGCTTGTGCTTTTAATTAAAAATATGATTCCACTCATGTATTCCTGCATTCTTTCCATTGTACAGTGATAATGTTTCTAGACCAGCGGTTCCCAAACTGTGTTCTGCGGTGCCCCGCAAAATGTTTCCCCGGTGCTATGATTAGAGCACCGGGGAAAGATAACTGCTGAACAGGGGCCAGGTTGGGTGCCACGGTCCTTTAAGACCTCGACCAGGCCACTGTAGAGTCTGCCGGCTGGGAGGAAATGACAGCCTGTCACTTCCTCCCCGCTTCATGCAGGGAGACAACGCGGGAAGGAGAGGAAGTAGACACAGCATGAGGGGAGAGGAGCACTCCAGGAGCGGCTCCAGACCCCTCACTCCTACCAGCCATGAGCATACCTGAGAGAATGCACATGATTACCAAGGTCCAAGACTCCGGAAGGCCCCAACAATGCAACATATTCCATGTAAGCAGGACTAGGGTCAGCATCGCTATCACTGGGCCTGGGACTTACCTGGGGACTGGTCTTGTTTAGAAGCTGACAATGCAGCAGCTCAAGGGGCTATGTGATTGCAGCTCTTCATATGAGACGCCTTGTCAGGGTTTTTCTCAAAGTATGTTATGGGAGTACCTGTTTCTTTAGGGAAACACTGACATAGGTAACGTTACGTTATTTAAATGTTCAACGTCAGTGCCTCTGTGCACAATTAATGTAAATAATAAACAAATGTGTTGAAACTTCAGTGAGGTATAATCTTTTTCTCTCCACTTCAGGTTTTGTCTATTTGAGTTCAAGTGACTCTCCAACACTCCCCTGAATAACTACCTCCTATTGATCCTCCCGGACTGTCTAATTACTCCTCTATAGGATCTCCCTTATTGTTGCTGATTAAAATCTTGTTGCTCAACCCAGACTGCCCAATCACTCCTCTCCGGGATCTTCCTTATCGTTGCTGATTGAAATCTTGTTGCCGACCCTGAACTGCCTAGTTACTTGTCTCCTGGATCTCCGTTATTATTGCTGACTGATTCCTCATTGCTGACACTGGACTGTCAGACTACATTTCTCAACAAATGTGTATTAATGGGAAACTTGCACCTCAATGTAAACTGAACTACCTGTGCCTTAACCTAATAAACAATCACACCAACTTCTCCACTTCATGTTTGGTGTCTATCCTTGTCTTTCCTTGTTTCTGTACTGGATACATTCTTGCTGCAGAGCCTCCCTATTCAGCTCCTGGGAGGTCTGCTTATTTCCAAGCTCCTAGTTCCTGGGATCCGCATAAGCTGCATCAGGGTTCTGGTATGTGGCTGCACAAACGCTGGTGCTCAACACCAGGAGGCGTGCGGTTACCCTGCACTAGACCCTGACCTATCCACTCTCACGCTGAAGAGAAAAAGAGTACTGGATACCAGAAGCCAAGTCAGACATCAGAACAGAGCAGAACATATCCTGACTTCTTGTCTCTGGAAAGCAGGCAGCGGTGCTTGGTCGTCGAGTGTCTGGAACTCCAAGCCGGACACTCTAACCTGTGAACACCGGTAACTTTGTACCAACACATGCTTCTATTCCTGACAAGCACGAACTAGATGAACAATCGCTACCTATGAGCTAGGGGAACTGTTCGCTATTTCATTTGTTTTGGGACTCCCGAAAGTGACCGACCGCTACCACTTTTGTTCTGGAATTATTTTGGGCAGATGCCACGTGTGCGGTTGGTCAAAACTTTACCCCTGTTGGTGATTCATCTGTATTTCTGGGAGTGCTATTTGAACCCTTTGGGCGCTGAGATCCAGGCTATCTGGGAGTAAAGGACTTGTGGGGGTCCCTTGTAATATTTTATATGTTTTGGGGTGTTTTATGTTTAGTGCATTGTAACTCTATACCTGGGAGATAATTAGTTTAAGCAAAGTACAGTCAATTATGTCCCAGACACAGAGACTCCTGGGCCTGTGTATACAACTGGGTCATCTGGCCATACTAAAGCATTCCAGTTGTACCCTTCATCCAGTCTTGACTGATGTTTAGGTATATGAACGACAAAGCGCTTGATTTTCCACACGACCTGCTTGGATTTTAGGAGAGTACGAATTAGAATACCATGCGAATGGACTATATTCACATAACCTTGTAAGAGTTCGGGAGAGTGTGAACGAACGTACGATACAAAGTACAAAGGGTTTGTTATAGTAACCCGCACCCGATACCCATGAGTGGGGACACTGCAGAACATCAGAATGTCCCCTACATTTATTTTTTTAATTGTACTCACAGATGGGGCAGAAGGATGAACAGTGATCTTTCCAACCCCCAATATTTAAGTTAAAGACCCTCACTCGATATTCACGGGATTGAGCAACAGCTGCCCTGCGTCTAGTTTTAAATGCCAGCAGCCAAATGATTAATCAGCCCATTGATGATGCCAGTTGGCAACAGTTTGATTTATTAAAATCCAAGCCCAGATATAAAGCATCCAGGCACAGATTTTAACAATTCAGGTCCGGATTTTAGCCATGCAAAGCGTTCAGTTCAATTCAAGCTTATTCAGAACGTTGTCTGCAAAATAATTAGTAAATTGTTAAATAGTCTGAACAAGGTCCAGATTTTGCAATCTGAATGGCCCAGAACAGCACGGGGTAATTTCATTCTTTTCAGTATGAGGCCTTTTTGTAGTTTAGTGAATAACCCTCTAAATGTTGCCTCTTGGGTTAAGGGTGCTAAACATTAGGTAGGGGACCTAGTATAATGATAAGGTTGAACCTGTAATGGTGCACTACTTCATACTTCCCAACATGTGTCCCGTGAAACAGGATGCATATGGAAGGGCCTAAAGGAGGAGTGCACAGACTGGGAAAAGTGCTAGGACAACCTGGAAAAAAAAATTACATATAGCCGAAAAAGTGGTAGGCCCACTTGAAAAAGATTTGTGTCAGTGTGGCACAAATCTTGTGTAGAGTATTAAGCAGCCATGACCAATATATAAAAACAATGTTTTTAGATGGAAAACATTTATCCCTATTTTGGATCCCCATAGCTGCTTCATAGTTTAGATGTAGTATGATCCATGCTTCTAATGTAAAACCTGGGTGTGTGCTATAATACACTCTTTACAATCTCAGCCTCCCATGTTATGTCATGAAAATGTCCATTCTCAAGCTGCGGCATAAAGTCAGCATAAAGATAGTTGTTGGGTCTAGACATTTTAAAACCATTAAAAGCTTAGTGAAAGCTGGTTGTATAATAGGTCTGTTAATTTACTGACTTAAGATGTGTCTGACTGCAAAAGTGTGTAATTCTTCATACTGCCTAACTTCCAGTACTCGCCTAGAAAACATTGTGGGAGAACTAACAATGACCTCACATTTATAGGGATTTTGTACTTGGTTACTCACTCTCTTTGAAGTCTATGGTTTTACATAACAGTTCCTCAGGAAAATACAACCTCAGATGTACAACACTAATGACATATTACATGATGTCATGATTTATTTAACAAAAAGAAAGCCGAAATGGAAAAGCCATCTGTGAAAAAGTATGTACACCTTATGATTCAATAGCTTGTAGAACCACCTTTAGCAGCAATAACTTAAGTAAAGGTTTTCTGTATGACTTTATTGGCCTCTCATATCGTTGAGGAGGAATTCTGGCCCACTCATTCTTTACAACGTTGCTTCAGTTCATTGAGGTTTGCTGACATTTGTTTATGCACAGCTCTCTTAAGGCCCTGACACAGCATTTAAATTAAGTTGAGGTCTGGACTTTAACTAGGCCATTGCAACACCTTGATTCTTTTCTTTTTCAGCCATTCTATTGTAGAATTGCTGGGAATATATCGGTGCTTGGGATCATTGTTCTGTTACATGACCCAAGTTCGGCCAAGTTTTAGCTGTCGACAGATGGCCTCACATATGACACTAGAATACTTCAGTATACAGAGGAGCTCATGGTTCCCAGGTCCTGTAGCTGCAAAACAAGCTCAAATCATCACCTCCTCCCAGAAACCTTGCTTGAGAGTTGGTACAAGGTGTTTATGCTTATGTGCCGTGTTTGCTTTTCACCAAACATGCGCTGTGCATCATGGCCAAACATTTTTACTTTGGTCTTGTCTGTCCATAAAACATTGTTCCAGAAGTCTTGTGGTGCAGATGCAACATTGCAAACCTAAGCCGTGCTGCCATCTTCTTTTTTATATGTATATTTTTTTTTTTTTTTTAATTTTTGGTGCATAGAATAAATTGTACATATTTGCTGGCAATGTCCCAACAGCAATTGCCGGTGATTCAATCAACAAATAACATCAAGGTTGGAGCATGCATAACAGTGCACATTTTGGTTTTATGGTGATGTGGATAGTAGTGTGATGCTAGCAAATAATGTTAAGTTTCTGTGTGGACCGGCTAGTAGTGTATAGAAGTCAAAAATTGGTCTTAGCCCATACGTTGGCGAGTTTCCCCCCATTGCCATAATTAGCATGGGATCGCGATCTCCCTCTTTAAGCAGGAGGGTACTACGGTTGCCTGCCCCTGAGTGTCATTAGGGTCGTCGTGGAGTGCTCCGTCTGTGCGAGGGGGATGCGTGCCCGTGTAAGTGTGATACCCCTGGTTGGGTGAGTCGTAGGTGGCAGTGTCTGCAGTGAGGCACTCTCAAGTTCCCGTGGGAGCTTCTGTTGGGTGGGCGTCTGCAGTTTGGTGCTTGCGGTGAAGTTAAGACGTCTAAGGGATTGGAGATCTTGAAGATCGTCGAGGGTAAGTGAGGGTTGTGGTGTCAAGGCAGTTTCTTATGTGTCGATAGTCGGGTTGATACCCATCGTGTTGGCCATAGGGGGAACCTAGTACGCCTGAATTACCCTGAGGCGTTCGGGGGGGGGATGTGAGACATCGTGATGGTGGATTTCGGGAGGCTGTTGGTGCACTGTGTCCCGTGGTGGGAATCTAGTGTGAGATACATACCATCGTGTTCTATAGGACATCGAAATAAGTTAAAGTCAGTTAAGCTATAGCCTTAGCTGGTGGGTTCAGATTGGTGCACCTAGGTACAAAGTCCCGGGTGGCTGCTGGGTCCCAGCCATGTGGGTTAGATTGTCCTGCTGCTTGCACTGTTGGACCCAGGGAGTCAAGAGGAAGGCCCAGCGCCTGTAGGTGTGTAGTTACTTTGGCTTGGTCGCGGATGGAGATGGTGGAGTCCCCCTGTGTGATCATCAGCGTGTGGGCTTGGCTCCATCGGTAGCTGATATTCTTTGCTTGCAGGAGTAGCGTGAACTTGCGACGTGATCGTCGCCCGACCAGAGTCACCCCCGGAGAGATTCATATACAAGGCAAGGGACATCCCCTCAAAGCTGTAGGGCCACTGCCCCCTGATGGTGGCCAATACACCTGCTTTGTCCTTACGGTTTTGAGGCTGTAAGTGGTGCTTTGAGAGGTCTCGGGAGCTTTCGCTTGTTTTGGGGTTAGCAGGGCTGCTATGAGGCGTCGGGCAAAGTGTGGGAGTTCGGCCGTCTGCACGTTGTCTGGGACTCCCCTGCAGGGCTGCCATCAGAAATTTTGAGGCCCCTGACACAGTTCAAAATGTGGGCCCCCTGGGCCCGCCCCCGAGTCTGCCCCTGGGGGCCCATTCTGAGTCCACCCACAAGGATGGTCTGTGTGGTGTATAAAATGGGTACAGATTGCACATTTGTATAATGAATGTAGTTTTGTGTGTTTTCGATAAAGTGTGTGTTTGTGTAGTGAATGCAGAGTGTTTGTGTTGTGGTTTAAGTGTGTGTATGGTGAATGCAGTGTTTGTTTTTGTTGTGGCTTTAGTGTGTGTAAGGTGAATGCAGTGTGTGTTTGTGTTGTGGTTTTAGTGTGTATGGTGAATGCAGAGTGTGTGTTGTGGTTTTAGTGTGTACATAGTGAATGCAGTGTGTGTTTGTATAGTAGTTTTAGTGTGCGTACGGTAAATGCAGTGTGTGTTTGTGTTGTGGTTTTAGTGTGTGTATGGTGAATGCAGTGTGTGAGTTGTGGTTTTAGTGTGTGTATGGTGAATGCAGTGTGTGTGTTGTAGTTTTAGTATGTGTATGGTGTATGCAGTGTGTGTTTGTGTTGTAGTTTTAGTGTGCATATGGTGAATGCAGTATGTGTTTGTGTTGTGGTTTTAGTGTGTTTATGGTGAATGCAGTGCATGTTTGTGTTGTGGTTTTAGTGTGTGTATGGTGAATGCAGTGTGTGTGGTGTAGTTTTAGTGTGTGTATGCTGTGTGTGTTTGTGTTGTGGTTTTAGTGTTTGTATGGTGTATGCAGTGTGTGATTGTGTTGTGGTTTTAGTGTGTGTATGGTAAATGCAGTGTGTGTTTGTGTTGTGGTTTTAGTGTATGTAAATGTGGGGGCTGTATGTAAAATAGGGGGCTGCATTGGAGGGTGAGCCTCTTCGGTGGTATTTACATTTTATTCCCCCCTCCCTGCTTCTTACCTGGCCAGGAAGGGGGGAGATCGCATCCCTGGTGATCCGGTGGTGTAGTGGAGGGAGCCAGCTGCTGTAGAATGGAGTGGAGCACCATCTTAACTTTCCAGCAGCTCCTGCCTGTAAGTCTCGGGAGCTGTGCCTGTTTGTCGCGCGGAGCGTTGCCATGGTAACCTGTGACAACGCTCTGCCGCAGAGCTCGGCTGATTAGTTTAGTCAGTTTTTCTCCTCTGTTATGCCGGAGCTCGGAGGCCATGCGACTGTCTGCTTTAGTAGTAAGACCACGCCACCCCCCCACCATCTTCTTTTTAAAGAGAAGATGCTTTCTCCTGGCAACCCTTCCAAACAAAGGGTTTGTCTCTTGCAGTCACTGCTTTACCGACAGATCTCCGGTAAGAATCTGCTGATATATACACCAGAGTGTGGAAAACCCCATATACCTAAGGCTATGGACTACCCCATTACAAGTGCTTCATTGAGAACCAGTAGTAGGCTCAAAAAACTGTGAGTGTATATCCATATAGACACATTTACTTTTTATACAACACTATATTGATGTAATTTGTTTGTGTGCTATACCACCTGGAGTTCTACCAATGGATCAAGACACCAAGTAAATCCATAGTCGGGGATTGTATCACCAAAACACATATATTTGGAGCTAATTATCAGCTCCATAAAACTGTACCCTACACTGTATTTGGCACTTTATCCTCATTTCTTTTGCATATTGGTCTATGACCTGGACTGGAGGACATCCCCCTTTTTTCCACTAATACTTACCTACGACGAGAAAAGAGAGTTACTGGTTTGGGTTGTGTGGCGGAACCAACCTCGCCACTGGCCACTGGAGGAGCCTGTTGGCCCGCCTCCTGCCACTGGACTATGGCCCCATGTTAAAAAAACCTTTTATTTTCCCTATGTGAGTAGTGTTACCCCAGATAGCTATGCCATGGAGCACCTTTGTATACTGAAAGACTATGTGAAAGACTTTGGCTCCATGGCGATTGAACTGTATGTATGTGATCTGAGCGCCATTTGGTAATGTGCGCTCAGATCTAAGCTATCTGGGGATATGTTGAATGTATATGTTTTATGTAGTAATTGTAACACTGTGTAATTTTATGTCTTTTTACTAACATGTGGCTAATGGAGTTTTGCCTCTGTCCTTGGAGATAATTGGATTACTTCCCAATTATCTCCAGGACAGAGAGGAGGGATTATAATGCATTGTGGGAGTATTTAAATGTGTAAGCTTGTGATTGGTCAATGTCCACTATGTATCCCAGTGTTCCATCTGGTCCCCTAGGGGAGTGTCCACCAGGTGGGAGACCTGCATAAAAGCCAGACAGGTAGCCCCAGTAAATTAGTTCTGCTTGGTCCTCAAACGAAGTGTCTTTCGTTCTTGGGGGAATTGGATTGTATGCTGTTACAGTTCGACTGCGAGGAGTGTAAACTGTTCGTATGGTTTTTCCTGTTCAGCTGTTTACAGCATTCGTATGGTTCCGGTTCGGGAGTTAGAGAATTCGTGTGTTTAAAGTTCGGGAGTTGGAGAATTTGTGTGTTTCCTGTTCGGGAGATTGGTACTTGCAGTAGCTGCCTGTGTATCTGGAAGGGGAATATCGCCTAAACGGTTTTTAACCTCTTGTGTGCAAAACGGTCCGTTACAGGTTGTTAAAGCTGCCACACTTCAAATTTTAAACAAGTGCTTAACCTTGCCCTGTGAACTACTTTCTGGTGATTAAGTTGCTTGGAGTGTTCCTTTAAGGATAATATAGCTGGCTTTCCCACACTGTATTTTCACTTATCAGTGGAAACGCCCTAGTGTAACAAATATTAACTGTTCCTCTAGTTCAGGAAAAGACAACACTATGGTCAAAAGCCAAACCATAAAATCCACATCATTACAAGTCAGTGATTGCATAATTAAAAAATCATTGTTCTGGGACAGATTTCATTAAAGTGTCACAAATACCTAAAAAAAATTGTTTTATATGAAATGAAGAAAGGATCATCTACACATGGAAATGTAAGTCTTGCCTTGCACGATGTTCTGCATTTTGCCAAAAACAGATGCAGGGAACGATAAAGCACAAAACATTTAAAAAGTGAAACGGTATGTCAACTCCATTTGCATACTGCTAGTAGTCAGGGTATGTACAGAGGAAAATGAACAAACAGGTGCTTCCAGTATTTTGTAAATTGTTTGCTTACTAGGGCAGCAAAATAATAATAATAAAAAAAAATAGGCATATTCCCCAACTTTCCTTAACTATAAAGTCATACATGTTCATTGAACTTTCCCAGAATTATTGTGATAATTTTTATTATTTATTACTCCATAAATATCCTCAAAGGTAACACCATCAGGAGAGCACCTGGTCACTAAAGAAGCAATGTGAGCACCATAATCACCATAGCCCATTGTAGTGATTATGGTACCAGGAGTACTCGGGCGCCATCCCACTCTAAGTCGTCAAACCATTTTGTATGTTTTGACATGGTCCCACCATGGGTTTAATGTAGATTAAGGGTTGATGTAGAGTTAAAGTGTGTTTAAGGTTATGGTTGGTGTTTGAGTTAGGCTTAGTGTTATAGTTAAGTTTGGCATTAGGGTTATCTAGGGCAGTGATGGCTAACCTTGACACCATAAATTGTTTTCTGGACTACATTTCCCATGATGCTCAGCTAGCTTTTAGAGTCTAAAAGCTAGCTGAGCATCATGGGAAATGTAGTCCAGAAACAATCTATGGTGTCAAGGTTAGCCACCACTGATCTAGGGCTAGCACAAGATTGTCTTAGGTTTACAACTGCTTCATTAAATAGCATCCTTAAGAAGTAAAGTAAGAAGCACGTTAGAGTATGTTTGTTATTTGAACCTAGAGGTCACTCAAACTCCTGGTAAAGGTTTACATGTGGGAAATTATTGCATTCAGAATACAAATATGAGGTCTTTACAGTAGTGGAATCAATGGGGTCTGATCTCCAAACAAATTCCAAAGTTTGTGAAAAGCGCAAAAAGATATATATATCTAGCAAACTTGGTGATAACACGCTCTTTGTTGAATACTCTGGCGCTCTTCTTCCTATAAATATATACATTTGTTTTGTATAGGGATTATGTATCCTATGAATAATATTAAAACTGTAGATTAATACAGCATATCACATTATGAAGAGGTTTAGCTTTAAATGCTTTAATGTTGTGTTATGTATACATGTAGAGTATCAGAAGAAATTACCAGATTTTACTAATCTCATGACGTAAAGTTTTATAAAGGGCACTGAGGCGAGTATTATGCTTATCTTTTTCTTTATTCCTCAGCAGCAAAATAAATGATATTGTATATATTCAATGAAAAAATTCAATAACAAAACATAATTTACCCCAAAGTGTTAACCATATATAACATATAAACCAATGAGAGTGTTTCTAGCATAATAATGTCCCATGTGACCCTAAGCCACTCCTCTTTCTTGATGTTGCCGATGAATACTCCCACAGACAGAACGATGTAACCAATGGATGTGTAGGAAAAAACGGAACTCCGGAGAAACTGTCAATCTTCTGTTTGAACTTGTCTGGACAGACATGGACCAGTATGACAACCCAATTAGGAGGCTGTAAGACAGAGAAACGAAATGGTAAAATACGTTCTTGGATAGTATTTCCACATTCATATTCCAACATTAACCAAAACAATATGTCAGTCCATTAATAGTTAATCAAGTGAAAGAAACACATCATCACACGGTTCGTGCCCCATTACGTGACGGTATATTCACAGGGAGGGTGCAACTTACCTGGATTGGGTGGGATAATACTCACCTCCGAGTCCTTTATAAAATCATGACTTTACGTCATGAGATTAGTAAAATCTGGTAATTTTATTAAAGGACACTATTATGCTAGTTCAAAGCTGCGTGATCATGGACGTGGAAAAATTAGAAACTGGACTAAAATAATCCCGGAACGTAGATTCTCTGGACCAGTCGGCTGCACGGAGAAGATCTTCCAGTCTACAATCTAAAGAAAAGGTATCAATGCCAGTCGACGCCATGATCCATTTGACCCAGCAAGATTTGGCAACTGTAGAAACTGGATGGTGTGGTTGTCGAATTGCCAGAAACAGATCTGGATACTGGGGTTCCCAAACCGAAGCCATCCTTGCTTCATATTCCTTGAGACAGACTACTGGGCACAGGTTAACGTTATGTGGAAAAGCCAGGTAGAAAACCAATGTAATGGATGTCTTCGAACGTCTCGATATATCGAAGGACATGCCTTCTGGTGTAAAGGAGCATGCCACGAGGTCCAGTGCTCGGACATCTGAGACACGTTTACAGGAGATGAGACAAAACAGCATAACCAGTTTAGCGGTGAGCTGCTTGATCAAGAGGCCATCATTCTTTGGCCAATTTTCCAAAAGTCTGAGAACGAGGCTAACATCCCACAAGTCTGAATATCTAGGTCGTGGTGGGCGTGCAAACTTGAAGCCACATAGTCGACATACCAATGGGTGTTTCCCTGTTTGAAGTCCATTCTAACCTTGGTGGCCTGCCGAAATAGCTGATCTATATAAGTTAATTGTACGATATGCCAGGCCATGGTCGAAAAGTGAAGTAAGGAAACCTAAAACTTGACTCACAGTTGCAGATATGGAATCCACGTGTTGTTCCATGCACCAACTATTCCATGCGTTCCAGGCATGTAGGTATGACCTCCTTGTTCCATGAGTGTAGGGAACTAGGGCTGAGACGTCCAGGACTATGACGATCTAGGAGGTTCGGTGACATCTGAGGTGCAGCAGAGTCCGTGCGATGATAGAGAAAGGAGGGATGGCGTAGTGGCGGGTATTCGGCCACGGTTGGAGGAAAGCGTCTGTCGCTAGAGCTTCCGGATCCGGCCTCCAGCTGAAAAACTTCGGCAACTCTGTGTTCAAGCGTGATGCAAAAAGGTCAATGTCCAAGGGTCCCCAAAGTGACTGTAAATGGCTGAAGGTGGCAGGGTTCAGTCGCCAGTCGCTGGCATCTTGTAGGTGTCTGGATTTCCAGTCTCCCACTACGTTAGTCATCCCCGGAATGTATTCCGCTTGTACTGAAATGTTGCGATCCCGACAGAACTGCCAGAAATCCTTCGCTAGTTCCGCTACTATTGTTGACTTCGTGCCCCCAAGGTGGTTGATATAGCGGACCGTTGATATATTGTCCATGCGTAACAGAATGGAGCAGTTGGTCGATATACTTAAAAGACTCCGTAGGGCAAACGCGCACCGCAGCCGAGCATACTTACATCGGATTCCACTATGATGTCCGGAGTTGTTCCGAAGATCGCTCGGCCATTCCAGGCTTCCATGTGCTGTAGCCACCACCTGAGTTCTTCTTTGGCGGTGCAGTCGAGAGGAACCAAGTCTGAGTATGAGTGCCCCAAACGAAGGTATTTTGTCTTTAGTCATTGAAGTGCTCTGTAGTGCAGAGGGCCGGGAAATAAGGCTTGGATTGACGCTGAGAGAAGGCCGACAATTCTGGCCAGTTGTCTCAAGGTAAGAACAGGACGTGCTAACATCCGCCTGATTTCCTTTTTGATGGATTTGACTTTGGTTGTTGGGAGTAGGAGTGCTCCGCTCACAGCATCTATGGTGAATCCTAGGAATTCTATTGATTGAGAGGGTTTGGTGACTGACTTCTCCCAATTGATTTAAAAAAAACAGGTTTTCTAGCAGAGTCCTCATCCAAGAAAAATGTTCATGGAGCAGATGAGGGTCCTGCGCCATTATGAAGATATCGTCCAAGTATATTATGAGTCAAACTCCTCTGCTGCGTAGGAGGGCGACCACTGGTTTCATGATCTTTGTGAAGCACCAGGGTGCCGATGAGAGTCAGAACGGTAGGCATTTGAATCGCCACACGGTCTCCTTCCATTGGAATTGAAGGAATTTTTGGCAGTCTTCGGCCATTGGAACCGTGAGGTACGCATCCTTCAAGTCGAGATTGACCATCAAGTCCCCTGTAAGCAGGAGGTCTCGGAGAGAGTGTATACCTTCCATCTTGAAGTGGTGGTATGTGACAAACATGTTTAAAGGTCGTAGGTTCATACTGGACGAACGCCTCCTCCTTTTTTGGGGACCAGGAAGAGGTTGCTTTTTTGGGGACCAGGAAGAGGAAACCTGGAGTGAGAGGGTGGATTGCAAAAATTGCACTGTTGAAGGCTAAGACCTGGACTTCCTACGATATCAAATATTGATCGTGAGTGGGGAGCACCATGCGGTTGGGGGGCTGCATTTGAACAGGGTATTGCACAAAATCTATAGAGTAACCCTGGACAGTGTGGAGGACCCAGGCATCTACAGTGAACATGTGCCATGCATTGACAAAGTGACACAGTCTGCCCCCCACCATTGTTAATGAAGACAGATGAAGAGGTAAGGTCGTCGGCTATAGGAAGAACCTCTGGGTTCCCGAGACTGCCATGGTCTGCCCCGAACCGGGAAGAACGGTGAGGTATGTTTGGGCTCAGGTACTGTGACCCTGGACTGTATGGAGCCTTGAGAACCCCGGTATGAACCCCAAGGTGGGCGGCCGGGAAGACGGCCCCGATATATCTGCCGGCCCCGCCAAAAACTCTCTGGTGGAACACTCGCTTCATGCTGGCTTGATCTTTATCAAGTGCCGTAAAGGTGCCTACATACGTGCCTAATTCTTTAACAAAATTATCTCCAAACAGGAGGGCTTTTGCCTGGGGTCCAGGCTCTGAAATAGCTAGGTTCACTAGCTTAGGTTCTATTTTAATCAGGATCGCCTTGCGTCTTTCAGTGGCCACCGCAGTATTGGCGTTGCCCAGAAGACATACGGCTCGCTGGATCCACCCCCTAATGGCTTCCAAATCTAACGGTGTACCAACTGCTAGTGCAATTTCGACCATGTTGAACATCTTCGCAATTGGCCCCAGGACGTCCAGGACCTTATCCTGGCAATTCCGCCAGGCAAAGTCCAGACCCTTCTTGGCCTTCCAACCTGATTTTCCCAAGAATTGGGCAATCTTTGGGTCTACTTCGGGGGTGACGCATGCCATATCAGGAATAGTGGGGCATGAGCATTCTGCTTGAAGTTTGTTTCATGCCACCTTGTCAAGTGGCTTTCTAATGCGAGCAGCAATATATTTTGCTACATGTTCCAGGGGATACCACTCCGAGGATCTCGGGTGTTGTAGGGTGTCGGGTCAAAAAGCGGCTCGCCCTGAAAGTCAACCAGGGTGGAGTCGTCAACTCCATCTTTGGGGTCTGTTCCAGTTAGTGTCAAGGAACTGTGCTCCAGCAAATAACTGTTGGAATCATAAGAGTCCTCTTCATTGGACTCGCTCTGTGCCTCCTCTTGCTCCGATTCAGATTCTGAGGATTCAGTCAGGCTCTTAGTTGTGGCCCAACCACAGGTTCTATGACAGGACATACCCTGTCTGTCTGTAAGATTTTGGAGGCATACTCGTCCAACTGGCGAGACTTTTTTGCGGCTTTACGCCTACTAGGGGCCACCGGTTTACTCTCTGGTGGGTTAGCAATGGGATCTGGTGGTAGCTGAGTGGACCTCAGTGCATTGGTTATCGAATGGGATATATTATCCGCCATGGCTCCCATTGCGGTAAATATGGCTTGCGTCACAGACTTCACCACAGCAGCGTTTAGGAGGGAATGTAACTCTTCCGAGTCCATTTGCTCCTGTGGTGCTTCAATTTTTGTGGGTATTTTGGGCACCAGTAGGGTTGTTGGGGTTATGGTAGCACTTGTGGCAGCACCATCAATTATCCTGCATGTCTCAGGAGTAATGGGCCAATATGACAGGCAGAAGATTTATTCTCAGACTGGGCACTACAGGGTCTATAGTAGGGAGATTTATTCTAGGAGCAGATTGGGGTACAATGTAATACTAAAATCTAGCAGGCACAAATAGTATGGCAATACCATGTAAAATACAGTGTAAAAAACAGGCACATATTAAGCAATACAGCAAGCTCACAGAATGTTCCCTCAGGTATAAGCTCCGGGGGGCACCGGGAGACATGCCTAGTAACTGAGCCTAATCCCGCCCTCAGATGAACAGTATTGGCCGCGCTAGAAAAAGCGCAGCAAAACTGCCAATCCCAATATGGCCGCAGGATGTGCACTTGCGGTGTGCGCATGCACGAGTGGCACTAGCCGCGGCTGCAGCTGCGGTCCACCGGGACCGTGGAAGAAAACGGTACCTGGGTTGAGAGCGAGCCTCAGGTCCGAGGCACTAAGTAAGGAGGGGAAAGTACGGTCGGAAAATAAACAAACCGCCCAGGAGACGGAGGGGGAGGGAGGGAGGGAAATTACAGAGAAAAATAAAGGACAGATTCTCATAAAAAACAAATAACCAAACGGAGAGATAGGTCAATTAAAGGCAACACTGAAAAATAAAGGCAATTAAAGGTAATTAACCTAACTAAAACAGAAAATACATATACAATTTTCCAATTATGACAGAGGCTGAAAAATTTGTACTTAGCTGAGGAGGCAGCAGCAAAAGAAAGAGGAGTGGCTTAGGGTCACATGGGACATTATTATATATTATATATGGTTAACCCTTTGGGGTAAATGATGTTTTGTTATTGAATTTTTCATTGAATATATACAATATCCTTTCTTTTCCTGCTAAGGAATAAAGAAAGAGATAAGCATAATAGGAGCCTCCGTGTCCTTTAATAAAATCCCTATCTGTCATGCCGAACT